AGACCCAATCGAAAGGCGCACACATCAATTTGTACATAATTACTATATTTTTTTTTATATATATTTAGTAAAATAACATAAATTAACTAATTTGGAATATAAATGTAATTAGCTATTCACTTAAAAAATTGTGTTCTTCCGAAAGTGCTAATCAATCTCCTAATTTGAGAAAATCTATTTGGGGAAGCCATCAAAATAAAAGGAATAATGAAATAGGTGAATGTATTTTTTAGTTAGTCCATAGGTAAATAAATATATTGAAAATTATGATACTTGAGGGGCTTTTTGGTAATTCGACCTTAGTTCAAAGTTCTGTGAAGTATACAGTTAATATCGATTACATGCATTTATCTACATAATTATTTATGAAAAAAATCAATCGATCCACTTTCACTGTATTTTGCATGTTATAGATCTTTATTGAATAATTCAACTTTTTTTTTTGACATAAGTTTTAAATAATATTCAAAAATCAATTAAAATTGTTGTAATTTGTGTGGCAGAGAGACAATGGAAGTAAAAGTTAAGCCTACGGTGTTCACTCAGCTGGTAAATCGACCGAATCGAACCGAATCGAAAATTCGGTTGATGTTTAATACATACTTCTTAGAATTTTGGTATTCGGTACAATATTGATATCCAATATACAATACCGTACCGAATACAAAACTATTTTATAAATATATTTTTTTTTAAATTCTTTAAGGTTATAACAAATTATAAAATACGTTTAGATTGATAAAGTTTTCCATTATATACAAATTAGCCTTTAATGATAATCATTTTTTTAATTTTTACGGGCAGATTATTGAAATTGGAATGTCAAATTCAAGAACTAATTAATTTAAATATATATAGTTTTACATTTTTAAAAATATCAAAATATATTTTCGATATTACCCGTATCGAACCGCAAAAACCGAATTAATTCGGTAAAAAACCGTCAACCGAATAATTCGGTACGGTAAATAGTACGAATTTTCGAGTACTGTTCGAGACGGTATTAACGAATGAACACCCTAGTTAAAAGCCCACATATTGTAGCCCGGTCCAATAAAAAGTAAAACAAAAGTATAAAGGAATTAAGTGAAAAGTAAACAAGAGTTTTTTTTTTTTACAAGAAGTAAAAATATAATATCCTCAAAATGTTATGCTAATTTTGAATGTAATAATAAACTAATTTGGAGAAAAACTAATCCAAATATTTATTAATACATACAGAAGATTATACGTATAATAAAAATGTAATTAGCATTTGAAAGTAGCTGCTTAAAATATATACATACACAACAGATTATACGTATAGTATTTTATCACAAAAGCACTCTTCACACATTCACAAGCCCTCGTATTGTTCGTCACTCAGAACCTCACTCTCTCTCTTCGCTCGAACGAAACTAGAGAGAAGAAAAATCAAAAGAAAAATTCGCGAAAAATGGCAGATGAGAAGCCGAAATCACTTGGAGTTTGGCCCACTGTGAAGCCATTCGTTAATGGCGGTGCCTCCGGTATGCTCGCTACCTGCGTTATTCAGCCCATCGACATGATCAAGGTATTCGTTTATTTTTTTCATTTTTTTTCTTCATAAATATATAAATCCGAGGGAAGTGTGTGTGTATAGCTGTTTTCTGTACAATTGGTTCATTAGATATGCTTTAATTTTGATTCCTGGATGAATGTTGGGTTGTTGGTGTGGTTTCAGATCTTAGATCGATCGAGTTTTCTCTGAATCTGAAAACGAATATTCTCTGTTTCATTGGTCTCTGTTTGCTAGACTTGTTCTCGGAGCTTAGAGATTGTACTGTTGTTTTGTGCTGAGTAATTGTTCATTTGGAGTGTTGGATTCTGTTAGACCTAATTTTTCAATTGCAGTGATATTGTATCTTTATTTTTATTAATTTATTATTATTATTATTTTTTATTTTTTATAATTTGTATGAGCTGAAGGATATTGGTTTTGATGCTTGGGGTTTATTTATGAATTCAGGTAAGAATACAGCTGGGCCAGGGATCGGCAGGAGAAGTGACGAGGAACATGCTTAAAAATGACGGTGTTGGTGCCTTTTACAAGGTTTGTTTGGAACGAGTCAAATTTTAATACCTTTTAAATGTTTTACTTATTATTATTATGCTGTTGACCGTCACCAAGAAATTCAAATTGTATTTTGGAGATGGTACTGAGTATTATGTATGTGCCATTTGATTGATTTTGTCACGAGGGTGCTGCAGCATTTTGTGGAGGCACAATTGAATTTGTCGTGGAAATTATTTTTGGTTAAAACACATTTTACGTGACACTATTTTATGATTGCCGTTTAAGAGATGTTGAATTACTAAAATTTTGTGCCATCGAAAAGTCATTTTGGTGAGGTAGAAGAGAATCATTTTAAAAGCGTCGTTAGCTCTTACTCTTCGTCACAATCACCCTAACATAATAGTTGAATGGAAGTCTACTTCATAATTTACAATTTTTTTGTTGTCAGATTGATTTTCTTTTCAACGAGTTATGGCTAACTTCATTACACAGTTTTCAGTCCAAATGCTTTGTAGTTAGATTGCGATACGGGAAGTTTTTATTTGTAATTGAAGTTATTAACTTAAGTCCTATATAATATGCATCTTTAAGTTGATTCGTGAATCTCCGAATATTAGGTTTCGTAACTCACTCTATCCTGGAAATTGTTTTGCTCGTTACATAGAGTATGGCTTCTGTTATTTGAAAAAAAGTACTAATAATTCAATTAATTTGTTTCGACAGGGTTTGTCTGCTGGGCTTCTTAGACAAGCTACATATACAACTGCACGGCTCGGGTCATTTAGGTGAGTATTTACTTTCACCTTGTAGCTCAATAGATTCATGACCATGTTAATCATCGACCTACACAACATTGATTTAATTGAATCAGACTTTATCTTAGAATAATCTGTCTGATGTTGAAACACATAGCTGATCATTATTTTGAACTGAGGATCTGACATTTCGAACAAATGTACGCACTATTTTTAACCCCATTCATTATAATCATCTTACTTTTGGCATTAGATAGTCATCTCTCTCTAGATACTGTGTTTCAATCCCATGTTTAACTTGTTCTTAGTTGAAAATTAGTTCTAAAATCTGCTATATAATACGCTTTTGAAAACTCGAATTAGATGTATATATCAAAGTTTTGACTCAAAAAACTCGTGTATCTCCGATAATAGGATTTTGACCAGCAAAGCAATAGAGGCCAATGATGGGAAGCCTTTACCACTCTATCAGAAGGCTCTGTGTGGACTAACAGCAGGAGCAATCGGAGCAAGTGTTGGTAGTCCTGCAGATTTGGCACTCATAAGAATGCAGGCCGATGCAACTTTGCCCCTCGCCCAAAGGCGACATTACACAAATGCCTTTCACGCCCTTTATCGAATCACTGCCGATGAAGGAGTGCTGGCACTGTGGAAAGGTGCGGGCCCCACTGTTGTGAGGGCTATGGCACTTAACATGGGTATGCTTGCATCTTACGATCAAAGTGTCGAGTTCTTCAAGGATTCTCTTGGTTGTGGAGAGGCTGCTACAATTGTTGGTAAGAGATAAAGATACTTTATAGTAGTAGCTTTTTTAAATCTTGATTTTTTGGCGAAATTTTTAGTGGGTTTATTTTTTCGACTTTTGCAGGGGCTAGTAGCATATCGGGATTTTTTGCTGCGGCGTGTAGTTTGCCGTTTGATTATGTGAAAACCCAAATACAGAAAATGCAGCCAGATGCTGCAGGGAAGTACCCGTACACTGGCTCTCTCGATTGTGCCATGAAAACGCTCAAAGCTGGAGGTCCTTTCAAATTCTACACTGGATTTCCGGTGTATTGTGTTAGAATTGCCCCTCATGTCATGGTACTCTCTCTCTCTCTCTCTCTCTCTCTCTCTCTCTCTCTCTCACACACACACACACACACACACACATGCGACTTTGATGCAGTATTTGTAATCGTCCACCAAACTACGAAAAATTACCTTGTTCTGGTTTTATTTGTTCTGATTATTGGATATGTGCTGTGCAGATGACCTGGATATTCCTGAACCAAATCCAGAAATTTGAGAAGACTATCGGACTGTAATCCAAATCGGAGAGAAGCAGAAGCAGATTTTTCGAACATTGAATCAAGAATAATGTTTTGGCCCATACATTGTATTGGTCTGCGTTTTTTCAATATTTTCGCACAGAATAATGTTTCGCCGTCGTTCGAGGATGATTTTCGTAACAGATTGTTTTGTATTGAACTGAATCAGATTAAAGTAGGCATTGGATTTTTTTTTCTAATATTGTCTGAACTTGCTTTGATTGAGACTACAACAGTATGTACTTGTGTTTTAGCAAAATAATCAAATCAAATGTACTTTAAAATGCATAATTGTTTTTTTTTTTTTTTGTTTTTTTGCTGGTAATTTTATATATTATTTGCAATCAAAAAATTACTTTTCATAATTAACAAAAAAATATTTTGACAAAAAATGTAATTTAAAAAATTAGTTGAAAATCATAATTTGAAAAAAAAATCATTATAATTAAAAAAAAAAAGAAGTAGGAGTAGTATGCTAATAAAATGTATTATAAGGGGTTTTTTTTTTTTTTTTTCGAGAAATATTATAAGGGGTTTTTGATAATATTAACAACACATGAGCCTAAACATGCAATTTGATACAACAATAGGGTGCTAAAGACAATAAATTGAGATATTTTAAAATGACAAAAAGGTCCCACAATTCCCTTCCATGATTTGTCAACAAACCAACCAGTCAAATTCGACCGTCACCGCCCTTTATCTCCTCGGCAGGTAAGATAATAAAGCCTCCCCCTCAATCCCATATAAATTAATTTTCATATATAATATTTAAAAAATAATATTACAAAAAAAAAAAAAAAGAATTCGAGGATTAAAAAGAAAAGCTATCAAGATAAAGAAATCAGGTCGACGAACGAGAGCGAGAGTAGATAAAATAAATAAAATAATTATAAAATAAAATAAAAAAATAAATATTTTTTCTTTTTCACTTGGTCAATCCTCAGGATTTTCACCGTTCCCAGTTTAATTTCTAGGTTTTTTGATTTACTTTTTTCCCCCTTTTCTTTTTTGGCCAGAATCAAATATTTGTTGTGCTGCTAATTTTATAGAATTAGGAATTTTGTTGTTGGGCGGGCGAGATATTTGGATGTTGTCAATGGAGGTTGTTTCGATGAGGAAATGGCTATGTATATTGCTGGTATGCGCGTTTGCGGAATCGGCGGCGTCGTTTCGTTTGGCTTCATCGTCCTCCATTTGTCAACTCGATTTCAAAACCTTGCTTCTCGATCTCAATTCTCAGTGCCCCTTTTCGAAACCCTTGCCCTCTTTACCAATTCAGGTATTTTTTTTTTATTATTTGATTCCTCCTTATTTTTCTAATTTTGCATTTTTCGGTACGCCTTTATCGAATTTATCGTTCAAGGTAGCATCTTTCTCTTTTCTGGTATCGATTTAGCTGTTGATAATTCTTTCTTATTAATCCTGTTTTATTTATTTATTTTTTGTTTTTTTATATGGAAATTGGGAATTGAAATGGTAACCATTTGTTGATGAGATTCGTATGTAGAATATTTCCGTCGGTTGAAGTTTTCTTGAATAGCAATTGGGAAGGTGGTGCATCTTGATTACTGTAATAAAATAATTTGATAGTATGATTAGTTCGACTAGGCTCTTTATTGGAGAGAGTGTTGATGGATAACTTGTGTTCTTTTAGTTTTTACTTAAAAGAGTGAAATATCGTCGACGAAAATTCCATCATTTGGCTAGTTTAATACTCAAGCCAAAAGGTATCAACAACTGTACGTGATCGAGTGTTTATTAAACCTTTATTTCCTCAACAATATGCTGATTTTATTAAACATATGCGCCCATCGATTTGACCAATCATTTGACCTCTATCCAAATGATTTATAGCATATAACATCACGAGAAGAAACTCATATTGTTGTTGAGTGATTTTTCTATTGCACATAACCGATTGCTTAAGTAGGAGGTGACATACTATATATCATCTATGGAATTAGTTCTATTTTTAGTGCTTAGGCTGGCTGTCTCGTAAGGCTAATCTTCCATGTCCTGGAAAACTGAATAAACGTTCATCCTGAAGCTGAAGTTCTGACGTCGAAGTTATCGCCCCTTTTGTTGTGATAGTGCCTTTGGTCATTAATACAGTTACATAGTCTGGTCTCTGTCAAAATTTTACTGAATCGGTTATTAGTGGTTTGTCGATCTTTGTCTAATGTTCTGTATTTGTTTCTCAACTGTGATGATTAATATAACTGATTAGTAATGACATGGCAACAAAAAAATTATAAACGAGAACGAACAGATCCTTTTTGAATAATAAACATTTTTAAGCATCCAGCATAAGCGGTGACCAATCTTTTAGTTCTCTTTAAACGTTAGAGCTGAAAAAAGAAAATGTAGCTACCTCGATAAAGAATGTATTGAAACTAATTGGATAGGATTAACGTTTCGCAGTCATGGTGGTTACTATGATGTTGAAGAATAGCGTTGCCTAATCTGCAGCTTTAAATTTAAAAATAAATTTTTTTTTTTCGTAAATGAAGGCTTCTGAAATTTTTATTTCCTTCTTTTGGGGTTTATGTTGTTCAATCGTGCACCGATAAATTTAATAATATGTTACTGAAGGTGGATGGAGAATCATTTGAAAAAGCTATGAGCTCGAGTCAGAAGAAGGGATATACTGCTGTTCTCTTTTATGCTTCGTGGTGTCCTTTCTCTACCATCTTCCAGTCGAAGATTTCTACACTAAGTTCTATGTACCCACATGTCAAACATATAATGGTCGAACAATCTTCAGCCACGCCCAGGTGGGTGTTTTTATCGTACCATCCAATTGCAATGCAGTGATGCAGAATATGTTTAGTGCATGTGTCCGTGAACACACACAAAGGAAACCTTTGGGGCTTGTATAGCCCTTTTCTGCGTTCGATTTCTTACTTCCGAAATCTAATTTGTGTTATTATGTGCAGTATTTTCTCGAGATATGGGATTCACAGTGTACCGTCGCTGTTGATAGTGAACCAGACGACAAGAATGAGATATCATGGTCGAAAAGATCTCGACTCGCTCAAAGATTTCTACAAAAGAACTACAGGTAACGATCTCTTAATTGTTTGGTCTATTCGGTTGAGTTGATGGCATAGTTCAAACCTTGTGTTCTCGAGTACATATCAAATATCATCAAATGTTATTGCTAATGTCCCTTCTGTGACATCATTGGGAATTGAAACACATTCTTGCCTTGAAGTTGATGAGGGCTTAAATGTCAATTCTACCTCTGTTTCTTGAGACATCTTTCTTTTTGAGCAAGATTTTAATTTAATGGGTTTTGAAAAGCATTTTATAGATGAAGTAAATAGATTAGTCATGCTGCTGGAATTTTATGTGCCGTAGAATACGTATACATATACCCTTCTATATATAGGTACTCCCAGTGATAGGGGTGGCATGCCTCATGGGAAAGATTTTGCTTGTTTTCAAATGCCCCCCCTATTGTTTATTCTAATATTTTGAATGTAGTCCGTGGTTTTTTCTCGATGATTTCAACTTTTCTAAGTGCTTTATCCCTTAACATCAATTTTCTATGCATGTTTGCAGGTAAAAACTACTACCAACCTTTTTTCTCTCGTGCTCTCTCTTTTTTTTTTCTTAAATTGATTTTTTTTCTTCTTAGGTCTAAATCCAGTGGTGGATATGGTCGAAGAAACGTCTAGTAATTCAGAAACTGGTCAGAACCCCATTCAACTTGCGACGGGAGCGTCACTAATGAAAGCATTCTCGAGGGAACCTTACCTAACACTTTCTGCAGTATTTGTCCTGTTGAGAGCTTTTCTGTATTTCTTCCCAGGGATTGCATCTCGTTTATTGGCATTATGGGCTGCAGTAATTCCACGTCTGAATTTGAGAATATTCGGAGAATCAAGGCAGCTCTTAGGGCACGTTCTCCATCTGATGGATGTGAAGAGAATTTGGAACAAGCTAAAGAACTGCAAAACTCGGAATTTCGTTAAAGGGGCGAGAAATGCTCGTGTTTGGGCTTCATCACTAGCCTCCGTATCATTGGGCAAGACTTCTTCTTCGAGAATCGTAAACTAGTTCGTGCTTGTATCAGATTTGCAAGAAAGTGGCTGTACTTTTGGGTTCTCTCTTTTTCTCCTCCCCTTGTTTTTTTGGTGTTCCTCGTTTTTTTTTTACCTTTCTAATGTATTTTGCGTGTGTGTGTTTGTCTGTGTTGAGAGCGAGTATAATATGTGAAGCCGCCGCCGTGTATGTGGGTTTCGTTTGGAATATCGACTCTAGCGAGGAATCTTGTAAATTATTTCAGAAAATATTCCTCCATTGTATATCATTGTCATGTAGTTTTAATTGAGAAAAGTTCCAACTCGGACTTTTATGGTTGCAATTGTATGCATCTTAGAGACCTTATGATGTATCCATAATGGGAACTTTTTCTTTTAATGGTACTTGTCAGTTTATATATGGGTAAATCAATCACTCGGTCAATTTACGAAAAAATCCTTCATAAATGGATAATTACATCTACCCCTCAATTATCTTACACCTTCACTCTTATGGTGTCAAATTCTACATAATCATCTAAATTTCATGGAATGTGCTCTAGTTTGTACTCGTTTTGTATAAAAATACAGTTTATGATGCACCACAATCTGATATATACAAGCCAAAAAAATACATCTTATGGTCATCTTGCTTAAAAAATGTGGAGATCGATGTACAAAAGTGATAATATATCATATAATCTCGAAGATTCCAAGTAAAATCTGCTCGAAACCAACAAAGCTGCCCCGAGTCAAAGTCAACCATGAACGATGAAGACTTCATACACAGTTGCCGAAAAAGAAAAAAGTTGCAATGGAAAGATGAATAAAATAATCTATTTGGGCCGAATTTTTTCTACAATAATAACAATTAAACAATTTTTTCAAATGAGCCCATCAGCCCCAAATGACCTAAACCCTACCGATATAATACCAAAACACTAAACCCTAAATTTCACTCCCAATTTTCAAATCCCTATAAATTTTCTCCGTTGAATCTCCGTCTCTCACAAGCTGTGCTACAATTCTCCGCCATCATGGTAAAACCCCCTCTTCAATCTTCGTTTCAAGTTTTAATTCTTACAAATTATCTCTTCAATTTTGCAATAACTTGTGCGTGTTTTTGTGTGTGTGTGTGTGTGTGTAGACTGCAGAAACAGTGAACCCAAAAGCTTACCCATTGGCGGATGCGCAGCTCAGCATAACAATCCTTGACTTGGTTCAACAAGCCGCCAATTACAAACAACTCAAGAAAGGTGCTAATGAAGGTCTGTTTTTTTTTTCTCTCTCATCATTTTTAATTTTCCCCTTTATTTTTAGGTTTTTTTTTTTTATTTTCTGTTTTCATGTTTGAATTGAATTAATTAGTGAACTGTTTGGGTTGTGGTGAATTTATTTATTGCAGCAACAAAGACTTTGAACAGAGGGATTTCTGAGTTCGTTGTTATGGCAGCTGATGCAGAGCCCCTTGAAATCCTTCTTCACCTTCCACTCTTAGCTGAAGATAAGGTAACCCTAATTTCAATTCAATTGTTGTTTAAAATATTTTGAAATTCAACTTTTGTGTGTGTGTGTGTGTGAAAATATTGATTTATGTTTAGGGCTAAGTTTATCGTGCGTTCTGGGATAATAATTCATATATTTATTGAGTGATGAAAGATGTTCCGTTTCGTTAAATTGCTGGTTGGTTGGCTCGTTTCTTCTCGTTTTTATTCAGAATTTAAGTGATGCTATTCTATCTATTATAGATTGTGCGAGGTAGGAACGGCTTTAATTATCAAGAAAAATGCTCATTTTCGTTAAATTTCTGATTAGTTGCCTCGTTTCTTCTCGTTTTATTCAGAATTTATGTGTATCTATTCTACAATGTACGAGGTCGAAACGACTTTAAATATTCATGAAATGACTAATTGTATTTCGAGAGTGTTGGATTATCTGGCAGTTTTTATTTATTTATTTAGTAAATTTGTGGTAATTGTCGGTGACGGAAAAATAATAATAAATAAAGTGACGATGATTGCAGAATGTTCCGTATGTATTCGTTCCATCTAAGCAAGCACTTGGTCGGGCGTGTGGAGTTACCCGACCGGTTATTGCATGTTCAGTCACTAGCAACGATCATAGCCAGTTGAAATCTCAAATACAACAATTGAAGGTAATTTAAAATTTAATTTGCAAATTGCTTCTTGAAACAACCATTAGTATTTCTTAATTATGTTAGTATTAAAATTAATTCTTTACTTTTGGCATAAATTACAGGATGCCATCGAGAAGCTTCTGATCTGATTCTGTAAAAGCCCTTTTGCCAGCGTGATGGGCCTCTGGAGCCACCACCCCCGAGGCTTTGACTGAGTGAGTTTATCCCCGTTGCAAGGGATTTTCTCTCTGTCGGTTTTTATCTTTTTGTTTATTATTTTTTTTTCGGACGAAATGAATTCGTAGTAGTGTTTCTATGTACTAATCAAACATGAAAAATGAGGATATGACTTATTTGGTTACATGTTATGAGGATTTCGTTGTTCGTTTTATCGGTTGAAGTTTCTGTCTGGATCCGTTATATCGAATGAAGTGTGGTTTTCTTAGAAGCTAATTGAGGCCTTTTTATTGCATGTGGTGGTTGGCTTATTAGAAATCAGATAACCTTTAATTATGTTTCTTCTGTTTATTATGTCTTTTGAGTTGGAGTTTAGCTTTATTTTAATCTTAACTTTCTGCAAACCCATGTGCTACTATTAGATTTAACATAAATTTAATTAGATTTTAAATGGGTATTAAGAAATCTTTTGTTCTTGATTCTTGAATAAAGAGTCAAAATAGTAGAGTGTACAATCTTTTTATTTATGTATTTGATGTATGTTTTGTATTTGATGTATTTGAAACATAATAAATCATACGTAAATATACTCTGAATGAATTTTTAAAATCAAGGAAGGTAATTTAATATTTTTGTGGTATATTTTTAGGATGTAATTTAATTTTTTTTAGTGGTATATTTCTAGGATGTCGAATGTCAAATTATTATTTTTATCTATTCAGTATGAAATTTTTGTTATCTCGTACTTTTTATGCTCGAAATTAGGTTAGAGGTAGAAGAAAATAACAATTTAATTTGTCATTTTTCACTCGTGAAAATGAAAAAAAAACAATCAAAATATTTAATTAAAGCAAAATAATTTCATTTAGTTATTAATATTGAATACAAGATCTCTTATTAATATTTTATCATATACTATACGAGACAATGATACACTCCAACCAATATATAATCCCACAAAAAAATAAAAAGGAAATACAAATTGACAGAAAAACTGGACATAATAATTAATTACCAAAAAAAATGTAACATATCTACTTCAAGAAAGTAGAAATTAAACAAACCATAATTTCATAGTTTTTATCAGAAGAGAAGAGCGAAGGCCATGGCGGCAAAGGATGCCACGATAGTCGGGAC